AAGTCCCCACCCTGTGCCCAGCCACCAGTAGATATATGGCTGCATCAACATCTGTTATTTACCCTGGAATCCCAACCACCTTGGCTTAGGACAATATAGACTGCTTAGAGGACACACTCAGTGTCAGAAGCATCTCACGCAGTCAACAGAATTGCTGCCCATCAATCGCCACTCAGATTGTGGGGGCCTTCAGCCTAAATCAAAGTCTCAGGTAGTAAAGACAAAGAAAAGAAGCATTTCTAGCCAGACATTTTTGTTACCAAGAAACACAGCAATTAAAGATGCATTGTGAAGCAATACGTGTATAGTGAGGGGGAAAGCAAATGTCAGTACTTTATTCATCTATCAAAACACTCAGCATTCTGCACATGTGTACGCCTGATGGCACATGTGTATTGGGAAGGATGTACAGTCACAGCAGATCGCTCGATCTGTGAGCTACCCAGCATCTTGGCTGGACACAGCAGTTTGCCCAACTGCAGAGGTGTGCTTTTCCTTTCACCCTGGCGTTAAGGGTGAATGGCCATCATTTAAAGGTAAGAAGTAAAGGATGTGCTTGGAAACAGATGAGAGCTAAACTTGTCCACGGTGGTCGCAGCCTTTGAGAATCAGGTCCGCAAAGCCACGCTCCTTCATCTGCATAATCTCAGCAGCATGTATCAGGGTAAATTGAAAAATACAGAAGCAGATTTTAAGCTAAATAATGCACACACAGAAATTGTTTGCATAACTGTAGTAACAGATAAAATGAAACAAAGAAGGGATTCTGTTGGTTATCATTTGTTAAGACTATTATGCCTAAGTAAATTGTTATTTTTCCACATTACACACCCTTTCTTACATCTTTCTTTATTCACATATTCTTTATTATGGTCCAAAGACAATTTTTGTATTTCTGCTGAGATGCTTAAATTTATTCAATACAGACTTAATTGGGGATGGACCTGGACTCAATAACCTTTATCATAAATCCAAATCTTTAGAAGTTATTGTATCAAAAAATATTCTTATTAAGTTTAATCTTTTTATTACCTCAAAGTAATTTCTGCAGTGAAAATGCTATGATATTGTATTTGAATATTGATATACCCAAATATATTCAGTTCATAAACCATGTTATACAGTTTGTAACATATAATAATTTTAAATTAGGAAACTGAAGTCCTCTCTTTCTTTCTTATCACACAAAATTGTTGTTTTCAACCTTGATCTTTTATTCCATATAATTTTTCTTATGTCTTGTTGACACATCTTCAACTAGTTTGTTGGTAGTTTAAGTAGCAGGTTGGAATAAAAAAAGAAGAGGATTTTTAGTATTGTAATTATTTTAACTTCTGCTATTGTGCCTGAGAGTGATGATAATTTCTGCCACCCTGCCCTAAGTAATTGGCAATCCTTAACTAACACCCCATAGTTATTTTCATACAGATCTTGTAAGTTCTCAATTACCTTTATCACCAGCTCACAAATTTTCTTTGAACATGAGCATAAGGGGAAACTGGTTTAGAGTATGAGCAGATGGCATATTACTCCAAGATAAATAAAATTAGCAAGAACTACTCACCCTTCTGCTAGAAATGTCAAGCTGAGTTGGGAGATTTTTAAAATATATATATTTTCAATAAATACTGGATGATTCTAAATTATGAAGGTATAAAGGTTTTAGGCTAGGAAAGCCCTTTACCATGTACATTATTATTATATTATATTAAACAATTAGAGAGGTTGGAAGACGTGCTAACAGCAACTAAAATTCTCTATGCAAAACACTAGAGATCACAAATGATATCCAAAAGACTCAGAGCGTGGTTTGAAAAAATTAGCGATTTTGCCATCTTAGCCAAACTGGTCTCTTAGCTTGAGAAATAAAACAGAGGCAAGTTTTTGCTATTGCCAGCGATATCTGCTGAGAGTCTATTACCTATGGATACTTTCTATCAGCCTCTATTTATGAATCAAAGATACCCATTTTGTAATGAAATATCACTTTATTCAATTAAACTCAAGCATGGGGTAGCCAAGTGGGGCAGAAAGGGACAGCTGCCCCCCAGATCAAGTAAAACAATAGAAATACTTAACTGACCAATCACATTAGTTCTCCCCCCCCCCAACAAAAGTCCTGCCCTTCCCCCCAAAAATCCTGGCCATGCCCATGAACTCAGGCCAAAATAGTACACAGAGCAATATCTAGTCCTTATTTCCCCCTAGTCTACCTCAGAGAACATCTCAAGTCACAAAGCAGGACATTCCTGACAAGTATATGTTTTATAGCCAAGCAAACCTGCCTAAAGGGAATGAATGAAAACAGGCCTGTGACAATGGATTGTGGAGTCAAGGTATTCACCATTTCAAAAATATGTCTCCTTTCATTTAATAGTAATCATCATCATCAACAACATCTTCATCATCATCATCTTGCATTTAAGAGATATCTTAAAAGGAAAGGAAGGAAAGGAAAATGCATTTCACACTTAGATTTAGCAGTAATTAATTGAGTCAAAGTCATGAGATTTATTAAGATATCTTTGAATGTGATGTGCAATGGACAAAGGGTTTTTATTATTATTAAATCCTTTTTGAAAGCAAATTATGCTAGGGGCTCTTTAGGAATCAAGATGTGGCCAACTCTGACAAATTAACTTTTCTTCAGCACAATGTGCAGAATGCACCCATTGCTCTTTCTCTTGCCTATAGCTGTCATTAGGTGTGTCCTCCTCGGTTGCCTTTTCGCTTCCCAGGAGTCTTGGGAATAGATTCGTTTCCTTAATGAGTTTATCTAAGTGGCACTCCGTGGGAGCTATCAGTCTGCAGAGTGTAGCTCCTCTTTGTGAATCTGATTTTTTTTGAAACACCGCAACAAAACATACATTTAGTGCTGGAGCAACTGAGTGCCAATTACTTAATAAGAGCCATTATGCTCTGCCTCAGGTAAAATACCATCAAGCTGGAATGAGGTGAAGACTTGAGGGGAAAGGGAGCAATATCTTTGGCTTCCTGGAATTTCTCCCTTGCACTTAAAAAAGGGTTTGCTACCATTTTGAAATAAATCGGGGGGGGGGGGTTGATTTGTTTTTTTTGAATTTTATTTTATAGTTAACTATTACTTGTAGTTTAATGGTGAATGTTGGGCATAATGGAGATGTAAAAGATTTGGATTATCATAAAAGATGCAGGAGGAAATGATTAACAATAGGACCCACAAAGGGGAGGAGGGAAGTCCAGGAGATTCTCTGGAATCTTGTCTTTATGTTGTATGTTGGATATGTGATTGAAAAACTTTAATCTGAAAACCAAATAAATAAATTAGAGAGAGAGAATGATTACTGTTGTTGTTGTTGTTGTTGTTGTTGTTGTTGTTGTTGTTGTTGTTAAGCAACAATATTAACAAAAGCACATTCTAAAATGTTAAAGAGGCAGTTATCGTTACATCCTTTTGTCACATGCAGACATCAACACTTAGAACTAATGTTAATAAAATACACAACAAACCCATAACTATTTGCTGTAGTCTCATCAAACAAAGGGCTCTTTAATCTTCTTGATGTCTTCATGCATTACAAGACTTAAGCCCATCATTTCAACCTCCATTAGTCATTCTCATAATGAACCCAATATATCAACATGTTGACATCCGATTTGCATTAATCATAGAATCGTAGAGTTGGAAGGGACCCTGAGTGTCATCTCGTCCCACCCCCTGCAATGCAGGAATCTCAACGAGAGCATACACCACGTATGGTCATCCAAGCTCTGCTTAAAAACCTCCAAGGAAACAGAGTCCAGACCACATTCTGAGGGAGTCTGCTCAACTGGCACACAGTTGCATGGCCAGACACTGTCTGCCCACTGCCCTGATTGTGTCATGCATGCAAACATAGAAAGGACCACAGACAACATTATTAGGTTCAAATGAGGCAGCAACTTAGTTGATTACAGATATAAGTGAGATTTTGTCTTGGCATTGAATATCACCTGGCTCACCTACTGGATAATTACCAGTGGTCAGACCTAATACAGGGCTGATTCTTAACACACATCAATTAGGTGTAATCCTGATAGGATCATTGTGTAGAGGAGTGCTATGGCCCCCAGCCCTTGCATGGGCATATGGACAGAAGCACCTCTTCCAGGATCCCTTTAATGGGATACCTGACAGCCTTGGAGGGGAAGGACATCTCCTTGCATCTCCCCCTCTGATAATGACAAAGGACCACACCCAGTGGCATATCTACCAAAGTTGTGATAATTGCTGTCAACTCAGGTTAAGCTTGTGTTTTGCTAAGAGTCCCAGATCCTATTTACATGTATTAGTGCAAGCTATATCCTTTGTCTTGTCTTATATTTGTTCAGCTGGTTCTTCCTGCCTAGGGGCAGAACATGACATTTGTCCCTATTGAAATTCATTTTGTTAGTTTTGGCCCAGTTCTCCAATCTTTTAAGGTCATCTAGAATCCCGTTTCTGTCTTCTGGGGCCTGTCTCCTGCAACATTAGCCAGTTTGGTGTCATCTGCACATTTGATGAGCATTCCCTCAATTCTTCAATCCAAATAGTTGGTTTGAGGATAGTGAGGGAATGGGGAAGAGGTGCTAGAAGTTCTGAATTGCGATCCAAACCTTAATCATTTTGATTTTTAGGAGTATAAACTGCCATATTTTTTTAACCCAGTGTCTAATGAAATCATTAAGACACATTAAAATTATCAAATCATAAAATGTGTTTGCTCATAAATAACAGGGGTTTGCACCAAAGAAAGATTACAGCCAGTGGCGTTTGATCACCCCAGAAGCCTACTGCTAAAGTTATTTTGACTCAATGTGTGAAATTTGACTCTCTTCGCCTTTCCATCCAGGCTTTGTACTTTCCCCCCAACCATCTGCTTCTCTTCTCCCTAACCCTTTCCAGATCCATTTGCCTCAATAGCTGCTCTGTGACATCATAGTATCCAGCCAATTGCTGCCAGGCAAGAGCAGTTTGTGCTGGTCTGTAACAGCCCAGAATGAAAGCTGCGAAGACTATCATTATGGCCCAAGATGCATCCGCTCACCTCTATCAGATGCTGGGGGCCAAAGAGCAGCCAACCAACAGGCGCCCTACTTCAAGCTCTATTTTTGTACATCCCTGCAGCATCTGGTTGGCCACAGAATGCTGAGCTGGACAAATTTGTCTGGCAATTCTGAAGAGTTTTTATCCAGGCAGATTTAAATCACTACTCTGGCCTCTGGATTTATTCACCCTGCACTTTGCTGTTCTTTCTTTGGAACTACAAATGGGCAAGCTTTCAAAAGATCCTCTCAGATTAATTTGGAAATCATCTTGAGTGCTTGATGGCAGAGAAATAGATGGGGGGTGGGGGTGGGAATGAGCAATGTCTCCAAATTAAACAAAGATTTTGGAAAACCTCACAGCACCACCACCCTTCTCTCTCAAGCAAAGTGAGAGAGACTCTTTCTTCCCAAAGTTGCTGACCTACAGGTGTTTTTGGACTACAACTATCAGCCCCACCCAGAGCATCCCTTTGGACTATGGCTTCCAGTTGCCAGCTATGCTGGCTAAAACAGCTGGGAGTTGCAGCTCAAAACACTTTGAATGGCATCAGGTTGTGGAATATTGTGAAATAAAGGGTGGGAGTAGTTGTATTACCCTGTACTCGAGCGACTAAAAGAGGCTGTTGAAGCAAAATCAGAGAGGAGAGAGAGGAATTCTGGGGCTTGTCAAGCTCTCCTCTCCTTTGAAGGGGGATTTAGTAAGAGGCTGAAATCATTCCCTACGCCTGACTGCCTTGTATGGGATATCCCAGCAATATCCGAACAAGCGAGGGCCCCTGAATTGCAGATCCAGTAGTGGCAGATGTGAAAAGGTAAATCAAGAGCAAAACTACTAATAGAAACTCAGGGACTAGGGCAGGAAGATAATTCAAATTCTGTTTACCAGGCCAAATGTCTTTTTCAAGACACTCTTCCATTTTCTGTCAAGTTGTTCCACATAGAATGGTTAACTGCTACTTTTTTCTGCTTTGCTACTTTTCAGCAAGTCACTAGTTCCTCTTGGGCGGTCTTGTTAGAGTCCTTTGGGAGCGGCAGGGGAGGGGAGCAGAGAGAACATCTCCATGCTACAGTGCAGACATCCATCAGCTGCCCTGCTTTTTATTCCCCAAAGTCTCCACTGGGATTCTGTTCTCCCCTGCTGTCTCACTGAGAGCTAACATAAAAGTTGCAGGTGCTCTGTGCTTTAACAAGACTGGGAAGATGGGAAGGGACAGCCACACAGAACTAAGAGACACACAGGCTCCAACCTTTGGACCAAGGTGTCCTTTTTGCTTATCTACACTCCTTGAACTTAGAAGACTATTTAAATATTAAAGTACATATCGGGCTAAGAAAGTTTGCCTAGGGGTTTGAGGAACTGGGAGAGGCATACAACAACTTTTGCTTCCAATCTCTGAAAACTAATATTTTGCTTTATAGGATTTGCAATGGCTGCATATACATTAACTTTAAAGGTATAAGAAGGCATCAGTTATCATTCTGACCCTTGCTTGTTGCATGCAACATCGTTTCCATTCAGCTGCAGTTCAGCTCCCAGCAGAAACTAAATTGTTCATCTTGCTATCCACTGTAGTGGACTTCTACATAGTTAATTAAACAGCCATGATATCATCATGTTATTCCACACAATTCATTTCAATGCAAAGGAAAGGAAATGCAGTGCAAATTTTAAAAACAGCAATAGTGAATACCTATCATATTTGCTGGATCAATTTCCATTCCAGGCACCGGATGAACAAGCGAACACTGGCAATTTTTGTCAGAATTCTGAAAACATTCCTAGTTACAGTTTCAATGCTGATGTTTACATGTAATAGCTGGGGACCCAGGCATCCAATGGAGTGCCTCTGCCGGCACCAGGCTTTGAGATCAGCAGAGGGTGCCCTACTTGTCCCACCAGCAAACATTGCTAGGTTGTTGGGGATGTGAGATGGGATGCCACTATCGACTGGGCCTAAACTATAGAACTCCCTTTCCTTACTGGCATAGACAGCCACATTCCTGCCCTATCTCATGGACATTTATGGTTTTTTCATGGTGCGGCTGTGTCTGCCTCCTGAATTAGAATGACACACCTAATGAGTCAGCTTCTGTCACCATTGCCTAAATGCCACTCAAGCAACTTACCTAGTTACCTAGAGCTTGGTTCCCTTGTTGACCGATGCCAATAATTAAGTGCAAGGGAACAAAGGCTGACAGAGCCTTCAGCCTCATGGAGATAAGGGTTGCACAGGCATGGGCTTTAATGGCCTCTAATGAATTGCCATGTAGTTGGGGTAATGGAAACAAATTGGTGTCAGGTTAAGGAAATGCAAAAGTGACCTCTAGCTGCTGCCTTAATTGCTTCTCATTTTTGCTGGCTGGTGGATATATACAAGCTTGTCATAACACAGCCTGTGCTTCAGAAAAGTCCCTTTGTTCCAATGAAAATCAATTTTGCTGTGATATACCACAGGCTCAGTCTGTGCAAAAGTATATTGGCAAGGAGAGGCAGTTGCAAAGCTCTGTTGCTACACTACTTTAATAGGAGGGGAGTCAATGATTCTGTGGTCAAATGCATGCTGGGAAAGATGGACCAGTGTACAAGGGTGGGGAACCTGTGACCCTCCAAACGTTGTTCTACCTAGGATCTGTCTTTTTCCCCACTCTGTTAACACAGTTCTTCAACCTGGGATCCATACCTGGTGGAGTACAACTTGCACTCTCCCTAGCCAATTTAGACAAAGGCACCATGCATATGGATGATGTTATATAAATAAAAATAAGTGAGACCTGCAAAAAAATGTTGCAGCATAGAGTTCTCTAGTTCAGGGTCCAGTGAGCCATAACCCTCTGCAGATATTCCATTCCATGCCCACCCACTCTCAATTACCTAAATGTTTCCCTCTCAGGATCTCAGACAGCATTCTTTGGCTACTGAGCAAGTTTAGTATTCCTTGGGATGTGCTCCCCCACCTTAACTGTCAATTCCTAAATATTTGCTGTGATTCTGCAATTTATTGCCTAAATATTTTGTATGCCTTTCTTGTTTGTAGATTACCCCTATATAAGTACCCACGCTTGCCAAATGAGTTTGCTATTAGTATAGCAAATGGTAATATAATTGTGGTCATGATGGTACTATGTGCTAGTGCAGAAAAGAATATATATGCCAGTTTTTTAGTCTGCATATGGTATTATGCAATCATAAAAGAAAATGGAACAATAAAGAGATGCAAATGCTCCCTTCACTTTACTTGTTTGGAAATGTATTACTTCTCTATTCATCCATCTATTCAGATGATACAATATACAAACAAAAGTAAAATATCCGGCAGATTTTTTTATATATTAAAAAAAAATCACCTAAAATGCAATGCTAGTCCTAATTAGAGTGCATCTATTGAAATGAATAAACATGTTTTTACTACATTTTCACAGTGCTTGGTTTGTAAAAAAAACCTGTAAGTAGTTTGCAAAAAGAAAACAATAAAATTACTGGTAAAAACAGATATTTAAGACATTTTTTAAAACCTAGAATCTGCAATAAATTAAAGCAAATTAAAACACTTATCAACGTTCTACATATCTAGGTAAACAAATAAATGGTAAAGGACCCCTGAATGGTTAAGTCCAGTCAAAGGCGACTATGGGGTGTGGCACTCATCTTGCTTTCAGGTTGAGGGAGCCAGCATTTGCCCACAGACAGCTTTCTGGGTCATGTGACAGCATGACAAAACCACCTCTGGTGCAACAAGACACCTTGATGAATGCCAGAAAGCACGGAAATGCCGTTTACATTACAGTCACAGTGGTACCTATTTATCTACTTGCACTGGCATGCTTTCGAACTGCTAGATTGGCAGAAGCTGGGACAGAGCAACAGGAGCTCACCCCATGATGCAGATTCAAACCGCCCGCCAACCTTCCGATCAAAAAGCCCAAGAGGCTCAGTGGTTTAGACCACAGTGCCACCTGCATCCCTTCCAATATCTGGGTAGGCTTGTCTGAACAATGTTTTTATCAGGTGATGAAATAAATATGGTTTATTTCTAATACTTTAGTTCCTGCACTAGAAGACAGATTCCTTGCAGATATGGAACAAATATTATGTGGCAACTGCAACGGTGCCAGTTCCTCCGATCAAATGTCCCCCTCTCCTTGAAATATTTCCATTCTAGCTGGGGTTTCTTTCTTCCTCCTCCCTTCCAATTGCTTCTCTTTTTGTGCTGTGTCTTTTTTATTCTATGCCCGAGAGCTTTGATTGTCTTATCATGGACATTTGTAAGCCACTCTGGGAGCCTTGTTTGACTGAAGAGTAAGGGTAAACGTGCTTTGCATAAGTAAGTAAGTAGCTAAATAAATAAATAAATTTCGTGAATTGAAGTGTTGTTGTTAGAATGGTTTTACTAGTTTTAATCTCAGCACAAGTCAACTAACCAGGAACTTCAAGATCAGAGGACTGGGGAGAAAGGAAACCTTCCAGTATGGATAACAACATATCTAAGCATTCACTGCCTATCTTCAAACTATTCTCTATGGAGATTTAAAACCAGACCCTCTCCTGGACTCAAGGTCCAGCAACTGCACACCACTGCCCTTCTTTCTGGAAATAATTTGCACAGAACAACTGTGCAGTATTCCAGCACTAGCTACCATTGTCTGGCTGCTTCAAGCTCACAGGAGGAAAGTCAAATAACTCTGGATTTTTTTTCCCTCCCTTTCTCCTTATCTTGCTCTGTGTCATTCAAACACAGAAGACATCAGCAACTTATTTGGAAATGGAGATGCGAAATTGTGAGTGTAGTATGCTGGGATTAATTGCTGCACTGATTAACTATATTTTTCATTAGCCTGTCTTCTTTTGCAGACTTTCTGCTATAAAGCAATGCATCTGCCCTTAAAATAGGCTGTTGTTTGATCCAGATGGTTCGTTAATTAAAAGATGCTGACTGGACTTCTCAGAGGGGTGATGACATATTGGCACAGCAGCCCTTTGGGGCTACCTGGGCTCCATGTTAGAGAGGCTGGACTTACAAAAGCTTTATAAATACAAGCCCCAGAGTGGTTGTTTTCTTTTCACATTATTCCTTTCTGCTTCTGGGATTACAGCAAGGTAGGAGGAACTAGTACCATGGACAGCAACAGGTGAAATGTTAGTTCTTCAAAATAGAGCTGGAAACTGATAGTAGTCAAGACAAGTTGAGAGGGAAACAGATGTTAATCTAAGCATGTAACTGGATGAGTAAAACAGCAAGATATACCTGCTATCATATGTCACACAATATTCAAAAGTGTAAATGCACTTTTGGACCATGGCATTGGGGAATAGGAGCTGAATGCTTTCCACACATACCATGTCTCCAGTCTCAATAGCCTCCCTCCAAAACCTAATTAAATATTAGCAGCATGTGTGACAGTGATTCAGACCCCAAGCAGCTGCATTTAGTCCAGGAGGGGCTTGCTGTGACCCTCCAGATGTTGCTGGACCATGATTCTCATCATCCCCAGATCACTATAGCCAACAGTCAGAGTGATGGGAGCTGTAGTCTAACAACTTTTGGGTTAACCACAGGTTAACCACCCCAATTTAGTCATTTAAAAATACAGAGGCCCAACCTTTCATAGATCTCCGAGTGACACATCTTGTTTGACTTCAAACAGCTGGTGACTGCTGAAACCAGGGCCACTTGTCCAGCTCTGCTCTCCCACTTCAATGCCCAGCATTTAGCACAGGCATAGGCAAACTCGGCCCTCCAGATGTTTTGAGACTACAATTCCCATCATCCCTGTCCATTGGTCCTGTTAGCTAGGGATGATGGGAGTTGTAGTTCCAAAATATCTGGATGGCCGAGTTTGCCTATGCCTGATTTAGCACCTGCTAATCCTGTAGGGAAGTGTGGAAGACCCGTAGATTGGTGGCAGAACATCTGCCCTACATTTGGAAGGTAACAGATTCAATCCCTAACATCTCCTAATAGGGCTGGGGGGGGCCCTGAGACCCTGGAGAGCCACTATGAGGCACTGTAGACCAATGACCTGCCTAATGCCACATTCGCACCACAATTTTAAAGCAACATGAGACCACTGCAAACTCACGGCTTCCCCCAAAGAATTCTGAAAGCTGTTGTTTGTTAAGGGTGCTGAGATCGCTATTGCCCTCACAGAGCTACAATTCCCAGAGTTTCCTGAGAAGGGAGGTTGACTGTGAAACCACACTAGGAACTGTAGTTCTGAGAGAAGAAGAACAACTCTCAGCACTCTTAACAAACGACACCTCCTGGAATACATCAAAGATGTAGGATGCTCATGGATTTCTCTAGCTAAAGGCCAAAGAACATGTTTTCCTCCACATTTTGTTGGCATTACAATACCAATCCAGCCTGACCATTGGCCATGCCAGCTGGGACTGGTGAAGTCCAATGATATATAGAGGGCACCACACTGCTTGCCCATCCTCTAGTTCTTAACAGTGGTTCAGCTGAAAACCGTAGCAAAGCACTTTAGCGCTTCTTTACCTGCCTCTTGGCTTTCTCTAATGTGTCTGCCAAACCCTTAATGCTTTAAATTATTGCTTGCTCTGCATGCTGTCAGCCTGTCTCCCCAACCCCCACAAACAGCTTCCCAGAAACACCTCAAACACACTCCCTTCCTCCTGCCTCACTCTCCTTTCAGAGCAAGGCCATTAGAGCACAGAGACACAATTTCTCTTCCCATCAGCAGGAGAACTCACCAGATATTATCATGTGCCATTTCAATTCCAGTAAAATGCAACAAGACTTCCAGGTCCTATAGCAAGGAGGTAACACTGGTGCTGAATTTAAAAGCAAAAGCACAGCCTAACTAGCATGGGCAGAGGTTTGGGGAGCTAAATCAAAGACCATGTTGAATGCAAAAAATATAATTACAGAGAGGATTGGCTTTCTTGACCTCTTCCCATTCTAGATTTTTAGTATGCACCTAAAAATACATGAGCAACCTGGTGCCCAACAGATGTTTTGAATGAAAACACCCATCAGTACACTTCTGTATAGTGTGTGAAAAGGCCCTTTGATCTTTGGTGAAAGGTGGTTTACCATATTAGTGGTGGAGTTTGGATGAGCTCGCATGATGCAAACTGACACCCAAAGCAGAGTTTCAATCATTGCTATGATAACATTCAGCTTAACACATCAATGATGAGCTGCACTCAAGGGTACTAAAGGAGCTTACTGATGTAATCTCAGAGCCACTGTCTACAAACATTAATATTATTGGAGAACAAATGAGGTTCCTGCAGATTGAAGGCAGGCAAATGTTGTGCCAATCTTCAAAAAGGGAGGAAAGAAGACCCAAGTAACTACTGACTGGTGAACTTGACGTCAATACCAGGAAAGGTCCTTGAATAGATAATTAAACAGTCTGTCTGTGAGCACATAGAAAAGGATGCTGTGATTACTAAGACCCAGCATAGATTCCTCAAAGAAGTCATGCCAGGTGAACATCATTTCTTTTCTTTTTTTAACAGAATTACCAGCTTCATGGATGAGGGGAATGCTGCGGATGTACTGTATCTTGATTTCAGTAAAGCTTTTGACAAAGTCCCCCATGATGTTCTTGAGAAGCTGGCAAAATGTGTGCTGGATGAGGTAACTGTTAGGTGGATTTGTAGCTGGTTGACTAAGTGTCTTAGTAGGGATATATCTAGGGGTCGGAATGAGACTTCCGGGGTGGCGCCATCGGTAATGGCAGACTCCTTCTGATCCGGAGGGACTGGCTCTACGGAAATTGGGCCTGTTCCGCTACGGCGAGGTGGGGACCCTTTAAAAAATCACAGGTGGGTGAAGCCTGTGACCGTGGGACTCGGCGGGCACCTTTTGCGCCCCCCCCCAAATTGTAAAGGAACCCAATTACGGGCTCCGGAGCGAAGCAGGGCAAGCGGCGTGGTGCTGAGAGTCAACTGCTTCTTCCGTGGAGCGAAGCCGCACAGCCGTTACCGGAGAGCGCTGACCTTTTCCTGTGACAATCTGGCTACAAAAACAACTACCCGTGAGTAGGTTAAATTCGGAAATAAAGGAAAATAAAGACTTAATTCGGCACCGAGCGGGGAGGCATAAACAGGAAGTCCGCCTTCCGTTCTTTGTAAATAGAGTAAAGCAAAGAAGTTGTAAGCTAAAACCTGGAAAGTCGATTAAAGGACTATAATCCTAACATCAAAACAAGCGATTTCCCCCCTTGGCTGCAGGAGAGGAGGGGGGAAAGGTGTGAACTATATTTTCCTGCAGAAAGAGAGGAAAGGAAGTTAAAATCCACCGCTTAAAACCTGGGAAAGGGCTGTCAATGGACAATAAGAATGCCGTACTGTGAAATGCGCTGTTGGTGAATAGAGTACTTTTTGACAGCTAACTCTGCAAAAGAGATACAAAGTTTTTGGCTGGCTTCTCCTGGTTTTAAAGTAACTGGAAACTAATTGAAACTGAAATTGTTACCTATTTTGTGAATTGGGGGATTAAAAAGGGTTTTTTTTTTTAACGCAACAAGTTTTGACTGCTACTGTGTCCCCCTAGAGGAAGTTTGAAATTGTCACAACAACTGGGCCAGGGGAATTTTCCACTTCAAAACAAATTTTGACCATGGGATTGACCTTGGGCTTCAACTAGAGTGTTATGGCAGATGGAAAAGAAAAGATAGAGTTGCTTCAAGAAAAAACAACGAGGTCTGGTAGATCTTTCCGCACAGACACTGGGCTGCAGTGAAGAGCATCAGCTTCTGGCCCCTCTGCACCATTAGGGGCTGTATCTGTACAACCTAAACCAAAAGGAATGGCATCTGAAGATGTTTTAGCTCTGGCACTAGGCAAAATTAATGAATCTTTGGAAAAACTAAGTAAACAAGTAGCTGAAGCATCAATCAAAATTGATCAAAACACTATAAGCATTAACAGTTTCGGACAGAAGGTGAATACTAATACAGAAACTATTGAGAAACTGCTACAGGAATCTACTTTGACCCGAAAGACAGCTGAAGAAGCAAAGGAAATAGCAGTTGCTGCAGAAGAGAAGATACCACCGATACATAGGCAACTTGAGGACCACAGGTCGATGTTGTCTATGATTGAATTGAAGGAGAAACAAACGAATTTGAGGATCAGGGCCGTACCTGAACTTGAGAAAGACAATCTGATTGACTTTCTTATGCAGGAATTCACAGACTTTTGGGATTTAGATTTGGAGAAGGAAGATTTTAAGATAGTGAGTGCTTTCAGGTTTGGAAGAGGGGGGAAGAAGAACAGGGTGAGAGACTGTTTGATCACCCTCCGAACAAAAGAGGAGAGAGACAAAATCTTGAGTCTGCACTTTCAGAAGACTCTGGAAATACATCAGTCAAAAGTGGAGATATTTAAAGACATCCCGAAACATCTTTTGGACCTCAGGTCCAATTACGGAGATTTGGTCGCCCTGTTGAGAAGCAACAGAGTTATCTTTAGGTGGGAATTTCCCCAAGGCCTATCTTTTAGCTTCAAAGGAAGAAAGATAAAAATAAGATCAGTGGATGACAAAGAAAGATTTTTGAAAGATCACGGAGAAGATTTGCAGAAAGAATCTGGAGAAGAGCTAAGAGCACTAGAAAGAGGAATACTAGACATAGCAAAACAACCTTTTGGACTGGACTGCTTAGAGAAAGCGATACCACCGACAGAACAAGAACAAACAGTTGGCGCAGTTGGAGGTAAAGCAAAGTAACTACATCATGGCTCTGCAACTATTAAGCAGGAATTCTAATGGTCTTAACTCCCCCCAGAAAAGGAAAAGAATTTTTCATTTATTAAAAAAGGAACAATTGGACTTGATTTGTCTACATGTGATAAGGCTACATAGAAAAGTATTGATGAACAAAAGACTGGGCCAGGAGTTCATCTCATAAGACAAAGTTAAAAAAAGAGGAGTAGTGATTTATGCAAAGGAGAGTTTATCACCGGAATTTATCTTTAAAGATGACCAAGGAAGATTTGTGGCAATTGAAATTCAAATACAAGGAGAGAAATTTCTGATAGTAGGAGTTTATGCACCAAATGAGGGGAAATCTGAATTCTTTAAAAAGTTGCATGAGACCTTGATGGACTATTTGGACCATAATGTGATTCTGATGGGGGATATGAACGGAGTGGTATCTACAAATATGGATAAGGCACAAAGACAGGTAGTCACTAAGGATGGTAGACTACCGAAAACATTTTTTGAGATGACAGACAACTTGGACTTAGTTGATATCTGGAGAATAAAGAATCCCTTGGGTAGAGAGGGAACCTTCTTCTCTGAAGCCAAAATGACATGGACAAGAATTGACCAAATATGGGTAACTAGAGGAATGGCACCAAAGACAAGAAAAGTGGAAATTTGTCCAAAAACCTGCTCCGACCATAATGCCGTGAAGATGGAGATGAAACTAACACCAACTGGCTCTTTCAGATGGAGGATGAATGACACCTTATTTAGAGACGAAGAAGTGACTAAGAAGGCCAAAAAAACCTTGAGAGACTATTTCGAGACAAACATGAACACTAATGTTGAAAAAAAGAGTAATCTGGGACGCAAGCAAAGCGGTTATGAGAGGGTTCTTGATACAACAGAATGCAATAAAGAAGAGAATCCAAAATGAGAAGAAAGATAAAATTTTGGAGAAAATAAAGGAAAGTGAGAAGAAATTGAGAGCAAAACCAAAGTCGCAAGAGATCTTGAGAGAAATAAAGTTATATCAAGTACAATATATGAAAATGATGAATCAGGAAATAGAATGGAAAATTAAACAAATGAGACAAAAGACATTTAATGTGGGAAATTGTTGGCCTGGCAAATGAAAAGAAGACAAAAACTAAACACTATTATAAATCTAGAAGTGGAAGGAAAGAACATACAGAACCCAGTCGAGATTAGAAACTGTTTCCAGAGGTACTTTAAACAATTATATACACAAGGGCCACAGAAAGAAATTGATATAGATCGATTTTTGAAAATAAATGGATTACAAAAATCTCTCAAGAAAACAAATTAATGTTGAATTATAAAATAACTGAACAGGAGGTAGAAGGTGCCATTCAGAATATGCAATTAGGTAAATCTCCAGGACCGGATGGATTGACTTCTAGATACTACAGATCTTTAAAAGAATGGTTGGTACAACCTTTAAAGGAAGTCTGTAATGAAATATTGGATGGGAAAAGGGCACCAGAGTCGTGGAAGGAAGCGTACATCACACTTATACCGAAAACAGAGACTGAAAAGATGCAACTCAAGAACTACCGCCCCATATCACTGCTTAATGTGGATTATAAAATCTTTGCAGATATTTTGGCTAAAAGACTAAAAAAAGTGCTAGTGGAAGAGATTCATAAAGACCAAACAGGCTTTCTCCCGGGTAGACACTTGTCTGATAATATGAGAAATATAATTAATATTTTAGAAAAATTACAAGTGAATATTAATACCAAGGCAGTTTTGATATTTGTGGATGCGGAGAAAGCTTTTGACAACATTTCTTGGAGTTTTATGAAGAAGAACCTACAGGGGATGGGGGTAGGTCAAGGCTTTGGAAATGGTATAAGTGCAATTTATTCAGAACAAAAGGCTAAATTAATTGTCAATAACGTGGTGACGGAGGAATTCAAGATAGAAAAAGGGACACGACAAGGTTGCCCAATCTCCCCATTGCTTTTTATATCGGTCCTGGAGGTCCTGTTGAATATGATTAGAAGGGACCAATTGGTTAAAGGTATACAAGTCGGAGCTAAACAGTACAAATTGAGAGCATTTGCAGATGACTTAGTATTGACATTACAGGAGCCAGAATCTAGTACTAAAAGAGTCTTGGAACTGATTCAAGAATTTGGTCAGGTTGCGGGATTTAAACTGAATAAGTTAAAAACAAAGGTCTTAGAGAAAAATTTAACAGCGATTGAGAGAGAGAGGTTTCAGAATGAGACAGGTTTAACAGTGGTTAAGAAAGTGAAATACCTGGGGATTAACATGACAGCTAAAAATGGGAATTTATTTAAAGACAATTATGAAAAATGCTGGACTGAAGTGAAAAAAAGATTTAGAAATTTGGTCAAATTTGAAGCTTTCACTGCTAGGACGTATTGCTGCGATAAAAATGAATGTATTGCCTAGAATGTTGTTTTTGTTTCAAACATTGCAAATTTTGGACAAAATGGATTGCTTCAAGAAGTGGCAGAGAGATATTTCTAGATTTGTCTGGCAGGGCAAGAAGCCTAGAATAAAATTTAAAATACTAACGGACGCAAAGGAAAGAGGTGGATTTGCCCTGCCAGACCTTAAACTTTATTATGAATCAGCAGCTTTTTGCTGGCTGAAAGAGTGGCTACTTCTTGAAAACACAGACATTTTGGATTTAGAAGGTTTTAATAATGTATTTGGATGGCATTTAAAAATCATATTGTCAGGAAAGCATTGTTTAATGTCTGGATAAGATACAAGGACCTACTTGAAAATAAAACCCCAAGGTGGTTGTCACCGATGGAAGCGAAGGCTCTGAAAAAGCTCAATATGGAGGCCAAATGGCCGAAATATTGGGAAATTTTGGAACAAGAGGGAGATAAATTGAAACTGCAGAGTTTTGAAAAACTAAAAAATAAAGTGCGAGATTGGCTTCATTATTATCAGATAATGGAGGCATATAATTTGGATAAGAAAATTGGCTTCCAGGTGGAAAAATCAAAATTGGAAACAGAACTGTTAGATTCCAAAACCAAGATTTTGTCAAAGATGTATAACTTGCTGTTGAAATGGAATACTCAGGATGAAACGGTGAAATCTGCTATGATTAAATGGGCACAAGATGTTGGACATAACATAATGATGGCTGACTGGGAACAGTTATGGACCACAGGTATGAAGTTTACGGCATGTAATGCCTTAAGAGAGAATATAATGAAAATGATCTACAGGTGGTACATGACACCAGTCAAGCTTGCAAAAATCTATCATTTGCCCAATAATAAATGTTGGAAATGTAAAGAAACTGAAGGTACATTCTTTCACCTTTGGTGGACGTGCCCAAGGATTAAGGCTTTCTGGGAGATGATCTATAATGAAATGAAAAAGGTATTTAAATATACCTTCCTGAAGAAACCAGAGGCCTTTCTCCTGGGCATAATTGGCTAATTGGTGCCAAAGAAGGACAGAACTTTCTTTATGTATGCCACAACAGCAGCAAGAATTCTTATTGCAAAGTACTGGAAGACACAAGATTTACCCACTCTGGAAGAATGGCAGATGAAGGTGATGGACTATATGGAACTGGCGGAAATGACTGGCAGAATCCGAGACCAGGGAGAAGAGTTGGTGGAAGAAGATTGGAAGAAATTTAAAGACTATCTACAGAAATACTGCAAAATTAATGAATGTTAGAATGATGTTGGATTGAAGTTAAATGGTTTCTAGCAGCAATGTTATAAAGGAATATGTAAAAATGGATTGTTAACAGGTGATAATCTAAAGTTACAATATATTAAGATAAAAGATTAAGATAGAATCAAAGAGGGAAAGGATTTGCTGAATTAACTAATTTGAACTGGAATACAAAAAAGGGAGGTGTGAGGAGGTCGGGGAAACAAGCAAATGAAAGATAAGATATGGAAAGACTAATCTGTCTTTTAACTGTTTTTATTTTGTATTTTCATTTTCTATTTGTTTTCTCTTTTTTTTTCTTTTTTCGCTTATTTTTGTAATATGCTGAAACTTTAATAAATATCTTATAAAAATATATATATATCTAGGGGTCGTAATAGGCCATAATGGGTCCAGTGGGCAAGAAGGTGGTTTCTGCACATAGTGCAGAGGGAAGTGAGGGGCAGATGGGGATCATCAACCTTGGAAAGTATTCCATCTAGGAGAAGGAAAACTCTCCATCGCAAGGAAACACAGGACAATTTTGATTAACAAAAGACTAGGAAACGAATTTGTATCTTCAGATAAAGAGAAAAAAAGAGGGGTAGTTTTATACATCAAAAGTAAAATTGAATCACAACAAATCTTCAAAGATGAAGAAGGAAGGATGATAGCAGTACGGATCAAATGGCAGGGCGAAAATTTGATAATTGTCGGGATCTATGCACCTAATGGAAACAAGACGGAATTCTATAAAACTTTAGAAGAAAAATTATTTGAGTATATGGACCAGAAAATCATAGTAATGGGAGACATGAATGGAGTGGTCTCATTGGAAATGGATAGACTAAGAGACGGATTAAGCAAAGAAGGAAAATTGCCCAAGACTTTTTTTTTTCCAATGGTTAAATATTATAATTTGATTGATATTTGGAGACTCAGATATCCATTGGAGAAACAATTCACTTATTTTTCTGAACCGAATCAGTCAATGTCAAGAATAGATCAAATATGGGTCTCGAACGAATTGACTCCAAGAATTCTCCAAATTGAGATCCAACCAAGAATAATTTCAGATCACAATCCAATAAAAATGGAATTGAAAGGATTCGAGGAAAGAACTTTTAGATGGAGGATTAATGATTACCTCTTCAACGATCAAAAAAATATTGAAAAAGCACAAAAGAAATTAACTGAGTATTTTGTGGATAACAGTAATAAAGGAACGAAGATGAGCGTAGTATGGGATGCAAGCAAGGCAGTGATGAGAGGCTTTTTTATTCAACAGAATTCATTGAAGAATAAGAACAGAGAAAAAGGGAAAAAAGAAATTTTAAAGCAGATAATGGACAATGAACAAAAATTAATTAAAAAACCAAATAATTCAAAAATAAAACAGGAGATCAAGACTTTACAAACACAATTTGCAATGATCATAAAGAAAGAAATAGAACTGAATATTAAAAGGTTCAGACAGAAAAATTTTGAATTCGCAAACAAATCTGGTAAATGGCTTGCGTGGCAAACAAAAAAGAGAAAGGAGCAAAATACAATTAATAAAATTATTGTAAACGGAGAAGAGGTTGACAATCTGAAAGGAATTAGAAAAGGATTCTTGGATTTTTACAGACAATTATATAAAAACAGAGAAAGAAATAATATGAGGAAAATAGAACGATTTTTGAAAGAAAAAAAGGTGCAGAAGATCCCGGCAGAAAAGAAAGACCAACTGAATGCCCCAATAGGAAATGAGGAAATAAAAGAGGCTATAAAGGAACTGAAAAGGGGGAAAGCCCCTGGACCAGATGGATTCACATCAGGCTACTATAAAGAACTGAGAGATGCTTTAATGACACCATTGAAAGAAGTCATGAATAATATTTTAAAAGAAAGAGACATCCCGGAAACATGGAAAGAAGCATTTATCACACTTATCCCTAAACAGGACTCAGACTTAACACAAGTTAAAAACTACAGGCCTATTTCACTGCTCAATACAGACTACAAGATATTTGCAGGGATTTTAGCGAACAGATTGAAAAAGATATTGCAAGAAATTATTCACAAAGATCAAGCGGGTTTCCTTCCAGGCAGGCAGATGAAAGATAACATAAGAAATGTAATTAATATTTTGGAGTATCTGACTGCCAGGAATGAGAAACAAGCTATATTAATGTTTGTAGATGTGGAAAAGGCCTTTGACAATATTGCCTGGGATTTTATGTTGAAGAATTTGGAGTATATGGATGTGGGGATAGAGTTCTTTAACGGGATAAAGGCAATTTATACAGAGCAGAAAGCAAAATTAATTGTTAATAATGACTACAGTGACTACAGAAGATATTAAAATAACAAAAGGAACTAGAGAGGGATGTCCACTCTCACCACTACTATTTATAATGGTCCTAGAGGTTTTTTTAAGGTCGATGAGACAAAATGAATTAATAAAAGGGGTAACAGTTGGTCAGAACGAATACAAAGTGAAAGCCTTTGCAGATCTAGTAATTACGATTGAAGAACCATTAGAAAGTGTAAAAGAAGTATTGGATGAGATTGAGAAATTTGGAAATGTGGCAGGGTTCAGACTAAATAAGAAAACTAAAATAATTGTTAAAATATGGATCAAAGTATGATAGAAATAATGCAACAAAGAACAGAGATAGAGGTGGTGAAAAAGGTAAAATATTTAGGAATTTGGTTAACTCCTAAAAATATTGATTTGTTTCAGAATAATTATATACCGGTCTGGAATGGAATCAGGAAAGATGTAAAGATGTGGGGAAGAATGAAGTTATCTTTTTGGGGTAGAATCTCTATGGTAAAAATGAGTGTCCTTCCAAAGATGTTATTCTTGTTCCAGACTATCCCCATAATAAAGGAGGTAGTAATTTTCAAAGAGTGGCAAAGAGTGCTTTCAAGGTATATCTGGCAGGGCAAGAAGCCGAGAATTAAATTTTAGTTATTAACGGATGTAAAGGAAAGAGGAGGCTTCGCCCTGCCGAACTTGAAACTATACTACAAAGCAGCATGTCTTTGCTGGTTGAAAGAATGGATAAAATTAGAGAATAAGGAGTTATTAGATTTAGAAGGATTTGATAGGAGATTTGGATGGCACGCGTATCTATGGTGTGAAAAGAACAAAATCCATAAAGGTTTTGGGAACCACATATTTCGAAGTCCACTAATAGAAATATGGGATAGGTACAAAAACCTATTAGAACCTAGAGTTCCACACTGGTTGTCTCCATTACAGGTTATGAGTGTAAAGAAAATAAATATGAGAGGTAATTGGATTACATATGGTGAATTGATAACCAAAGGAGGAAAATGAAAATTAAAGCCATATGAACAAGTTAGAGAGCATGTTTATGATTGGTTGCATTATTTTCAGGTTAATGAAATGTTCAAAAAAGACATTAAAGAAAGGGGTTATGCAGAAAAAGATTCAAAGTTCCAGACAGAAGTGATAAATAATGACTGTAAAATTTTGTCAAAAATGTATAAAATATTGTTGGAATGGAATAAGAAAGATGAGGAAGTTAAATCGGTAATGGTACAATGGGCCAAAGATTTTGGTTATAATATACAGTTTGAGGACTGGGAAAAACTGTGGAAGGAGAACTTAAGATTCACTGCTTGTATGGAACTAAAAGAAAATGTTATGAAAATGTTTTACAGATGGTATATCACACCGGTAAAATTAGCAAAAATGTATAAGACGTGTAACAAGTGTTGGAAATGTAAAGAAAAAGAAGGAACGTTTTATCACATGTGGTGGGAGTGTAAGAAAGTGAAGGGATTCTGGGAGATGATATACAATGAAATGAAAAAGATGTTAAAATACACATTTGTAAAGAATCATAGAATCACAGAGTTGGAAGAGACCACAAGGGCCATCAAGTCCAACCCCCTGCAAAGCAGGAAACACCATCAGAGCACTCCTGACATATGGTTGTCAAGCCTCTGCTTAAAGACCTCCAAAGGAGGAGACTCCACCACACTCCTTGGCAGCAAATTCCACTGTCGAACAGCTCTTACTGTCAGGAAGTTCTTCCTAATGTTTAGGTGGAATCTTCTTTCTTGTAGTTTGGATCCATTGCTCCGTGTCTGCTTCTCTGGAGCAGCAGAAAACAACCTTTCTCCCTCCTCTATGTGATATCCTTTTATATATTTGAACATGGCTATCATATCACCCCTTAACCTCCTCTTCTCCAGGCTAAACATGCCCAGCTCTCTTAGCTGTTCCTCATAAGGCATCGTTTCCAGGCCTTTGACCATTTTGGTTGCCCTCCTCTGGACACGTTCCAGTTTGTCAGTGTCCTTCTTGAACTGTGGTGCCCAGAACTGGACACAGTATTCCAGGTGAGGTCTGACCAGAGCAGAATACAGTGGCACTATTACTTCCCTTGATCTTGATGCTATACTCCTATTGATGCAGCCCAGAATTGCATTGGCTTTTTTAGCTGCCGCGTCACACTGTTGGCTCATGTCAAGGTTGTGGTCAACCAAGACTCCAGAGAAACCAGAGATCTTTCTTTTAGGGATTACAGGAAAGGAAATAAGAAGAAAGGACTGTAAACTTTTCCAATATGCAGTTACAGCAGCAAGAATTATACTGGCCCAGAAATGGAAACAAGAGGAAATACCGACGGTAGAAGAATGGAGATTGAAGCTGACAGACTATGCAGAACTGGACAGATTAACTGGGAAAATTAGATATCTTTGAGACCAAAAGTTCATCGAGGACTGGGGGAAATTTGTTGAATATCTGAAAAAAACGTATGATGTGCAAACAACGCTAGTGGGGTTTCAAGAAGCACTGTGAAAGTTAAGATATATTGTTAAAAAGAAATAGAAGTGGGAGGGAAGTTTAATGGCAATATAAACAGAAGAAATGCGTAACTGAGAAGTAAATATGGATGATTGTCAGAGAAGCTGAAGGAAGTCCAAACAGAACCAAATTTGTGGAAATTTTGATATGATTATTTGTGTTGGAAAATTAATAAAAATTATTATTAAAAAAAAAGGAGAAGGAAAACTCTCATCCTAAATCTCCACTGCCTTGCAGGCTATCTTCCGAAGAAGAAAAGGCTAAGGAGTACACTCTGCATAAATCCAGAGTGGAGTCCCTAAGATGGCTGGATGGTGCCTTGTACACCTCCTTCCAGCATCTCCTGAAACCAAGCTGGTGCTAAATGTATAGCTCTGCTTTGCTTTGGACTGCAGGGTGGAGAGAAAGTGGCAGTGCAGGGCTTAGAAAGTGAGGTGTGTGGACAGGAGAGGGCAGGGTGATGCGAGGGCTCCAGAGGAAACCTTGCCAGGACCTCTTTCAATCTGGCAGCAGTCCTGATATTCCTCCCCCTGAACCCAAACTGGACCGCAGCTGCAGTCCATCTCAGAGCAAGGCCAAGATGTGAATTGAATGAAATAACAGCAAGGTCACAAAGTGATTCCCGACTGGGTGAGAGAACTAACGGAAATAATTCTGGACAGAAGCAGCAGCAGGCATTTTAGATACTTTCCCTCAAATTTGAAGGGAAGTAAATCTTCAACTGATTTGGGGTACATTGAAATGGCTCCCAGGAT